TGCGCTTGGACTCCTGCAGCAAATTGGGTCCCGCACCTGGTGCCCACCACGGTGGGGTTGTTTCCGCGGCTAGGCGTTTCTGCCCCGGGATCCTGCTCGGCTGTACCTGCGCAGTGTGTGGCAGGGACTCCTAGGTCCTTCCAGTCGCTGTGACAGCGTTCTGGTACAGCTGCAATTCAATCCCGCTTACCTCCGCCTCTCGGGTACCCCAGGCTGGCCTCAAATTCGCGGCGGGCCTCCTGCCTCACCCCACAGTCTTGAGTGATAGTTTATTCTTGGCCGGGCAATGGTGGCCGCGGGCCTTTGGTCCCAGCACTCAGAGGCAGGCGGATCTCTGCGGTCCGAGGCCAGCCTGGTCTACAGGATAGCCACGGCTACCCAGAGAAGTCCTGTCTTTTCCCATCCAGAGCCATCTAGTTTTCCAGGCAGGGTCTCTCAACCCGTAACTCACCATTCTAGCCAGACTGACTGGCCAGGGAGGTCCCCAGCACCGGGGTTGCAGGCATGTACCCTGCTGAACTTTTCTGTGGATGCTGGGGAGAGGGTTCATGTTCTCAAGTTTGCTTTGTAACCAGGCTACTGAACTGTGCTCCTGTCATTCTAAACTAATGAGGGGTCTCATGGAGCCCAGGGTGTTCTCAACCTTGCTTTAATAGCTGGGGATGGTGACCTTGTGCTGATCCTGTTGCCTCTGCCCGCACAGCGCCAAGGAGCTACATCCCACGTCTGGTTTCTAACTGCACAGTTTTCCCGACTCACTTCCTGCCTGCCCCCACGGGCCCCAGAGGTTGAACTACAGTGGTCAGGTCTGATGGAACACCCCAGCCTCCCTTTTAGCTTGGTTTGGGACAGACTATGTTCTGTAGCCCAGGCTGTCCGTCTCCCCATCTTCCCTCAACTTTCCAAGCACGAAAGTCGTCTTGAACACCTGAAATCATAGGTGTCACTAAATCACTCCAGCCAGCCTTAACTTTCCAATCCCCCCTCCTGCAACATCCTGAGTAGCTGGGATGACAGACATGCACTACCAGGTCTAGGATTTCTCTTTATTAAAGATTTACGTGTGAGTATTTTGCCTACATGTCTGTCTGTGCATCAGTTGTGTATCTGGTGTTCATCCAGGCCACTATCTAGGTGGTGGGACTAGAATTTGGGCCCTCTGCAAGAACAAGGGCTCTTTACCATGGAGCCATCTCCAACATCTTTGTCACCTCCCCACCCACAGTCTTTGAGACCAGGTCTCATGTAGCCCAGGCTAGCCTCTCCAGGTTGACTTTGAACTCTTGATCCTGTAGTGAACAAAAAGTCACCACTGAGCCTGGCGTTGGTGGCGCACGCCTTTAATCCCAGCACTCGGGAGGCAGAGGCAGACGGATCTCTGTGAGTTTGAGGTCAGCCTGGTCTCCAGAGCAAGTGCCAAGATATTCTCCAAAGCCACACAGAGAAACCCTGTCTCGAAAACCAAAAAAAAAAAAAAAAAAAAAAAGTTTGGGCTGAAGAGATGGCTCAGAGGTTAAGAGCACTGACTGCTCTTCCAGAGGTCCTGAGTTCAATTCCCAGCAACCACATGGTGGCTCACAACCATCCGTTATAAGATCTGGTGCCCTCTTCTGGTGTGTAGATATACATGGAAGCAGAATGTTGTATACATAATAAATAAAATCTTAAGAAAAAAAAGTCACTACTATTTGAACTCATAGGAATCCAGCAGCAGCAGATAATAAAGTACTTAGCTGAAAACGTGTAGCATTGTGTCAGGATGGGTGGCAGCTTTTTTTTTTTTACCAGAACCACTTTCTAGGGCTGTGTCTGTAGCTCAATTGGTCCAGTTCTCACTTACCACAAAGGAGCCGTGCAGGGGCATTCTCAGCCCCACAAACACAGGCTTGTCTGTACACACTTGTTATCCTAGCACTTGGGAGGGGGAGGCAGTGGGGTAAGGAATTTAAGGTCAGCCTTGGTTACATATTGAGTTTGAGGGCAGCCTGCGCTACATAAGACATTGTTTCAAAAACAAACAGAACCAGGAAATAAGAAGCCCTGCTTTGCTGGGCATGGTGGCTATAGGGACCCTGAACACTAATTTAAAAGACATGAAAGTTGAGAGCGACTTATTGGACCAGCCCAGAAAACACAGTGCAGTTTCCATCTAGAAAATACTTAAGTGTGGTAAGGATTTCTGTTTGTCATTGAAGAGTCTTGCAGATGTCCAAACATGAGGTGTTGAAACAAGTCCTAAGGTAGGGAACCCTGAGGACGAGGAGGGAACCAGGTGGAGGGCACGAGGAGACCCAGGCGTCAGAGGTGTAAGAACAAGGTTTAATGCTACACGGCTCAATAAGGCAGCCCAGGTGCCCAGCATTTCAGAGGCTCCCGGGAAGATGCAGGCTTCCTTAGTGTCGGGGCTTCCTCAGTATCCTCCACTAGACTAAGCAGTTTCCGAGGCAGCAAAGTGTGACACCTGAGGGAAGGGACAACACAGGGTGAGCTGAGCACACAAGGAGCCAGCCCAGGGACCCCTTAGCTCTATGAATGATGCCAAAAGTGTCACACGAGCTACAGGCTGGGGAGGCCATCAGTAGATGAAGTGCCTGCCACAGTCATGTGGACCTGAGTGCCATCTACAACAGTCATGCAAACAAAACAAAACAGGTGGCTGGCCGGCCAGTCTAGCCAACCCATGAGCTCAGGGTTCCACAAAACACCTGCAGATGGCTCAGCAGTGAAGCATCAGCTGCTTTTGCAGAGGACCTGGGTTTAGTTCCCAGCACCACACAGCAGCTCACAACTTCCAGTGACTCCAGGTGCAGGGGCTCTGGCTCCCTCTTCTGGACTCTGTGAGCACTGCAGATGTGTGTGGAGAGGGGCTATAGAGATGCCCCAGTAAGAGGCTGCTGTGCAAGAATGAGCTCAAATCTCTGGTACTACAGAAAAGCCAGAGACTGCTATGCATGCCTGAAGTCCCAGCACTCGGGAGAGAGGCCGCGAGAGACAAGAGGATCCCACGAAGTCACTGGTTTGCCAAATAACTTAGCCAAAGTGGCAGTCTTCAGGTTCAGTGAGAGACCTTGTTTCAAGGCAATAAGGTGGACACGGATAGGGAGACACCCCTCTCAGTGCCTCCTGTACGTGTGCGCGCGCGCGCACACACACACACACACACACACACACACACAATGGGGCATGAGTGGTCTACACAGGATTGTCTTGTGGGCAACAAGCTACCAACAAAAGCAAAATAGCCCAGTCTGTTGTGGCTTGATGAAGATACAGTATTGCACACCCTCAGCACATTCCAAGAGACCTGAGGCCTCAACTCTCCCATTTGTACAATGCAGGTCTGCATCCCACCAGACCCGGGCACCAGCTCTGTGAGCTGCCTTGTCAGTCCATCAGCTGAGGGTGTGTCCAGGATCCAAAATGCTGGGTTGTGGGGAGGTCTAAGGTACCCCTGTTTTACCTCCAGGCCACAGAATTCCCAACCCACAGCAGTCAGGTCCCATACTAAAACTCACCAGGGAGAGCTTGTGTGTGGTGGGTATCTGCCTAATCAGTCTTCTTAAACTTGCCGTTGATGTAAGGCACCCAGTCCAGGATCAGCCGCCAGTCTGTGGCCCACACCACCCCCACGGCACCCACAGCACCCCACATGCTGGCCGTGGGGATCCTGGGGGAACAGAGGCAGTTAGACACTACTGGTGACCTAGCCTTTGAGAACCTACTCCCATGGCATCCCATGCTGATGTCAATCAAGGGCCTTCCCAGTGCCTGACCACAGGGCACTTGGGAGGCTGAGGCAGGCAGAAGACTGCTTTGAATTCAAAACTATCCTAAGAGGCTGGGGTTGCACACCTTTAATCCCAGCTCTTAGGAGGCAGAGGCAGGCAGACCTCTATGATTTTGTGGCTAGCCTGGTCTACAGATTGAGTTCTATGACAGCTAGAGCTGTTTCACAAAGAAATCCTGCCTGAAGGAAGGAAGGAAGGAGGGAAGGAAGGAGGGTAGGAAGGAAGGAAGAAAGAACAAAAGAACTTGGATTTCAAGCACAGGGTAGCCATGAAATCTTTGTATGGGGTAACTTGGGACTAGTTCATCATAAGACCTTTCCCTTTTGGGCAACAGGTCCAGGCTGCTGGGAATCCAGTTCACACAGTGGTCCAGTTGGTTATACCCATTGGGACCATGTGAAGTTTGGAGAGAGCCTGAGAACTTTAACTATGCAGTGTAGCCACCCAGCTACACTGCAAGAAACTCCCCTCCCCTGTCCTCTACCAAGACACCCAGGGTATCACCTCCAAACAAACAATACCTCCTATAGGTGTGCCCCAACACCTGGCCTCCCAACAGGTATAGCAGTCACAAAACCCACATTGCCATCCACCAAGGTCACTAATGCCATAAGCCTACCCTGTGGGGTCAGGTGTGGTGTAGCTATAGGTATTAGTGCATTTATTATCTATCTAATAATATTTATTTATGTATCTATTTATTGATATAGTGGTGTAGCTATAGGCATTAATGCATCTATTATGTATCTAACAACCATCTATCCATCTATCTTAATTTATCTATCTATCATGTATTTATTGAGACAGGGTTCCAGGTACTCCACTCTGGCTTGGAATTCACTATGTATCAGAGGATAACATGAATTTCTGGTTCTCCTGCCTGTGTATCCCCAGTGCTGGGAGACAGGCCTCTGGTACTGGGAATGGCCCCAGAGACCTCAGAATTGTGTGCGATAATGGAAGGGTAACTTTGGGACTATAGTATTAATTTGATAACTTTTATAATATACACACTTTGTTGTTTGTTGATATGGGATCTGTCATATCCAAGGCTGGCCTTGAATTCCTCATCCTCCTGTCTCCATTTCCTAAATGCTAAGCCTGTACAACGACGCCAGGCACCTGTGCAGTAAGTACTGGAGACCGGAACAGAGCGCCATGCATGCTGCATGAGCCACAGCTGCAGATTCAGCACTCCTTTGTGACAACAGTTTTAGAGGGCTGGGTGTCACTCAGAAGCACGAGCTTCAAAACAGTCCTAATGTCCTGCATCTCATTCCCATTGTTGCAAAAAAGCAAAAATTAAAATTAAATTTAAAAAAGTTAAAGATGGGAGGTGGGGGCTGGAGAGATGGCTCGGTGGTTGGGGGCGGGGACTCACTGCTCTTGCAGAAGACCCATGTCTCCAACTACAAGGGATCCAACCCCTTCTGAACCCTTTGGGCACCTGCACTCACGAGCACACAAACACACACATGTACATATAATTGGAAATAAACCGAAATTTAAAAATGAACAAAAGAGGCTGGAGAGGTGGCTCCAGGATCCAGGTTCGATTCCCAGCACACACACATGGTGCTCACACCCTTCTCTAGTTTGGGGTCCAAGGGATCCGATGCCCTCTTCTCGACCACGCGGCTACCGGGCTACACGGTACATAGATATGCATGCAAACAGAACATTCCGGTGGGTGCCTGTGATTTCAGTGTTCAAGCAGTGTGAGACAGGAGGATTGCTGGGAGTTCGAGGCCAATTTGGGTTACAAAAACACTGTTTCAAAGAAAATAAAGAAGGTAAAACCAGAGTCAAAGGCTACAAGGTGCTAGGCTGAAAGTCGGAGTCGCGAGCCGCCGGGGCCCAGGGTACCCACCCGTCCCACACAGGGATCCACAGGTCGGGTGGGGAAACTGAGGCTCGAAGCAGCTCAGACTGACCTCGGATGCTTCAGCTGCCCCGGCCTCAGTTTCCCCCTCTACACCCAGGGCACACGGGTGGGACGGTGGGCGGCCTGCTCACCAGTTCTTGGCCAGTTCCCGGTAACGCGGGCCCAGAAACCTGCTCAGCATCGCGGAAGGGTCTCAACACTCAGGGTCACCCTGCTCCCGCGGCCCTGGAGCACTGCGCATGTGCGGAGCTACAGCGCATGTGCGAAGGGAAACGCACCACCCCTTCCGGCGGCGATGCTGGTCGATTCCGAAGGCACCGACATCTACTTCCGGGGAGGGTCGGGACATTGCTAGACCCCGCCTCCGTTTTCAAGGCTTCAAGCCTACTGGGTCCTGCGAGGCTCAGATCTTGAGGTCACAGGACATCCTGGTGCTGTCTCCATGCGGCTGAGCTTCAGGCCCCGAGTACTAATTTGATAACTTCCAGTAATACACACCGGTGGTGGCCTTTAACCCCAGCACTAGGGAGGCAAAGGCAGGCGGATGCCTGTGAGTTCAAGACCAGCCTGGTCTCCAGAGCGAGTGCCAGGACAGCCAGGGCTACACAGAGAAACCCAGTCTCAACAAAACAAAACCAAATTGACACACTGTGTTCTTGAGATGGGGGCCTCCTATATCCAGGGCTGGCTTTGAATTCCTCATCCTCCTGCCTCCACCTTCTAAGTGCTGGGACTGCACCAGCAGGCCTTGCTATAGGCAGGCAATGCCGGGTGGAACCTAGGGCCTCCTGCAGGCTAGAAGAGCACACTACCCACTGAGCCACAGCCCTGCCCTTGATCAATTTAAACTAGAGGAAACAGGCTACACAGGCAAGGGACTTGTGCAGGGGCGTGGAGGGGAAAGGCATGGATCAGGGGTTGCCACCACGTCACCTTGGGGTCCCTTGGTTGGCACAAAGGCAAGTCATCATTAGTTCCCCTTTCTGCTGTTTTACCTCCCAGAACAGGCACACTGCAGCTTCTCAGTGAACTCCCTTACTCCAGACTGGCAGAACGAAGTGAACACCCTCAAATACATTCCCCAGGAAGGGTCCATCCTTTGAGTGTGTCTAGTGGGTGGCGACTGGCATGTGGGTGCCTGCCCTGCTCTGGACTCCCTCTTGGACCTCCTTAGCCACGAATCAACAGAGGCCACAGTGCTGGGGTCTCAGGGATGGGCGTTGCTGGACTTTTGATAGTCCTCTACCTCCAGCTCAGGGGGGCTGTTACATAGTTGGTCACTGAACCCAGAGCTTCATGCATATATATTAGCTTAACACTCTGCATCTGAACTGCAAGCTCAGTCCACCCTCCATGGTCTTGAAACTGTGCAGAGGGTCTATGGACCCTTCTAGGACACAGGGACCCATGGATGCTTGGGCTGAGGACAGATTGTGTCTGGATATCCCAGCAGATGGGGAACCTGGATGTCTGCCAGTCCACCTTGAGAATTGGCCAGTGAAGCAGGGAAGCCTTGTGTTCCCTCCAATCCAGTTGCTCCTCCCACAGGCTTCCAGAAAGCTGAGTCCCCAGCTAAAGCAGTGAATAGTATCTGCAGTAGCAAGTTGTTACCACAGTTCCCAGCAAAATCTCCTTCACTGGAGATTTGTGGCATTTCCAAAGGGACAGTAGCTTGTAGAGACAGAGGTCAGCGTGGAGCAGGTATGAACGGTGCTGTAGAGAATCTTTGGTGGTCCCACCAACATCCTTCCCAGAAGCTAGAATAAGAAGAAACGATGCCACAGGGATCTGAAAAATGGGTCAAAATACTCAGGAGGGGACCAAAACTTGCATCATCTACTAGAAGAGTCAGCTGTGGCTGTGTGGCAGCTAAGTTACTGTTAGCTTTATATCTGGAACTAAACAAAGCAGCTGGGCACACCTGTAGGGACTCTCCAGACTGGACCCTACCTTCAGGTAGCATCCCACAAACAAGGGCATGGAAGGAGGAAGTGTTTGCTCTTTGCCTGCTTGCCCTCACTCTTGCTGGCAGGGGCATCTACCCTGCAGCTGAGACATTCCTTCACTGGTGTTAGAGCCCACTTCTTCAGGATCTTAGTGCAGACTGAAGACCAGCAGTTCCCCAGGAATCCTCCAGCGCTGGATTGGAACTGCTGAGACACCCCCTTTGTGGACACAGCCCACAGCCCAAAAGCCACGCTTATACCAAGTTACATACGTAGATATGTATCTGTGTATATTCATTCCATTGATTCTGTTCCCTTAGAGACTCCTACAAATTGTCACTCAAGCATTCAGGGCAGTGAAAAAACAGAAGTGGAGCATAAGCTCTGTGGGGGCAACTGGTCAGGCAGTTTCAGAAGAGAGGCAAGACTGTGGTTCAACTGTCAGGCATGTGCCAGTCAGACAGGCCCAGGTAGGGGACACTGGACACCCATACTCTGCCAGGCTTTAGGGTAGGAGTGGCCCTTGGATCAACACTGGGTCTTTTGAATGCTACTTTAATAACCTTGTAGACCATGAAATACGACGCGGAGTTCTAGAAACAGCAACAGACTGGAGACTTTTATACAAAAATTTGTTGCTTACAAAACATACGCAAAAGAAAGCTTAAAAAAAAATAAGACACGGAAGGCCTCGTTCTTGCTAAGTTTTGTCTACATTAGAAAAAAATCTGATAACTAATGTTCTTTTATTCTCCTTAAAAAAAAAAAAAAATACGCTTAGGCACGATGTGCTGGTGGCTCTGAACCAGAAGCCAGCCCCGGTCACCCTGCCAGGGTGCATCCGATTCTTCCGTCTTCCACAGTTAAGGCATCTTTTTTTTTTTTCTTTTCTGAAAAGTGAGCATGCGGCTTTCGTTTCCAGTTTCGGTTAATCGAGGGGGAAGCTCCTTCAGCTTGGTCACTGGGGTCAGGTCACAGGACTGTCATGGAGCCCTGTGGCCCCCTGAGGCCCCACAGTGTCTCTGGAGCCCAAGCCCTCTGCTACGCCTTGCTGGAGACCTGCCTCCTCCAGAGTCGTCCTGGGTACGCCCCGGGAAGAGTGCGGTGGTCCATGGTCCCACGGAGACCCATGTGACACCTCACAGGTGCCCCGGCGGGTTGTGAGCTTCACCCAGGCCAGGGTGAGCAGCCGACAGCGCCAGCTGGGGATCCCCGACCACGCCAGACACCTTTTCTTCCTCCCGCCGCTTCAAGCAGGCCGCTTTGGGGTTCAGGTTGCGCTCTGGAGTGGGGGAGGAGAGTGCAGTGGGAAACGGTCCCCCCCCACGCGGGAACAGGGGCCGGGACTGTGCTGTGGCCTCCCCTGGCCAGCGATAGGCCGGGGTGGAGCAGGATGGGGCGGGAGCAGCCTACCTCGCACCTGCTGCTCCAGGCCCAGGATAACCTGCACTGCCTGCTGCAGGATCAGCAGCTTGGTCTGCGCCTTATCCGACTTGAGGTGCAGCTGGCACATGCGGCCCAGCTCCCGGAAGGCCTCGTTAATGTCCCGCACGCGCACCCGCTCCCGTGCGTTATTGGCCATGCGCCTCTCCCGGTCCCTCAGGTCCTTCTCCTCCAGGGACAGCACCTCGTCCGTACTGCTGGGTCACAGCACCGAGCCTCCGTCAGGGGGGGCTGGGCCATTTCGCGCTATGTGCTACTGTGTGAGTGACAAGGTGGTGGCAGCCAATGCTGGGGGTGTGTGCATGATGGATAAGTGGTGGACAGTGGCCTGTGCAGGTGACACACCCCTAAGGGTGCTTGCCTATGTGTGTGGTAGACCCTCGTCTCTTAGGAGGCCTGGTGGTCACTCTGGGACGCTAACACATGGGAAGGGATGTGCCTTACAGGGTAGTGGGTTTTCAGTTACCCCTGTCCCTGCTCATGGCTCCGAGTGACAGCATTCAGAGCTGGGCTGCCCTGCGAGGCAGAGGCAGAGGCAGAGGCTGAGGCCTGGACCCTGAGCCAGGGCTCATGGGAGCAAACCGCACTCAGGCTTGAGCCCCACACCCCAGAGCCATGGTCATCCTAGCTAGGGCAGGAGCACTGACTCCCATGCCCAGGGACTATCTCCTCGACTGTGATGGACACACATGTTAGTGGCTCCAGATGACTCAACACAAGGCCCTGCCCATGGCCTGAAGCTTCCTGACAGAAATCACACGCTGGCATTGGCCCCCTCACCCTGTGCTGAGCCTGAGCCTTGGTCTCCTCCCTGGGAGAGCAGGTGGCAACCAAGGTCCTGGCGCCTAGGCTATGAAGCCTGGCACCATGCTCTTTGCCACTTATGTTCTCTGCTGCCCTTGGATGGACCAGATCCCTCTGGGTGGCGGCAGTGGCCCCAGACCTCAGGACAAGCGCACAGACCAAACTGCATGTGGGTACCAGAGGCTGTGCCCAGTGGACCCTTCTCTTCCCGAGGCCAGTCAGGGCCTTATGGGACAAAAGGCCCCCAGGTGGCGGTGCAGCCAGCCCCGTCCACAGGGCTGCAGGTGCGAGGTGAAGGGCGGCAGGTGGCAAGCGAAGGCAGGGATGGCTAGGGTAAAGGGAACAACAGTGTGAAAGACAGAGAAGTATGGCAGACTCGTGGGACACAGGGTGGACCACGCACTCTGCCGCCACAGACAGAGACCTCGGACAGCTGGGCAAAGCCCACCATGCTGCAGGAGAGAAAGGATTAATGGCAGGCAGGCCATGGCGAGCACGGGTTAAGGAAGCAGCGGGGTCCAAGCTGGAGTCCTCCCTCATCAGTCCTGGGGCAGGTGGACTAACACCATCTAGGATGGGGAAACACTGAGCCCTAGAGAGGTTCTCTAAGGGTTGGGTTGGGGCCCTACCAAGGTCAACAGTGATGGTGGCTCACATACCAGCTGGCACCTCTGGGGTTTTTTTTGGGGGTTGGCATTGCCCCTAACAGCCAGGTTCTGGGATAAGGCTGAGCTAGCAAGAGCCTGGGGATGGGACACAGTCTTGGCTGAAGTCCTCAGGACAGTGAGGAGGGTCAGGGTGGCAGAGTCCAGACCTGTCAGAAAGACGGTCCTCAAGGCCAGGAAGGCAGAAAGTAAGTCAGTCTCTACAGGGAAGGGGACAGTCAGCATTGGGGACAGTCAGTGTGGGCAGTTATCCTGAAATGACCAGCAGAGGGGAACTACCTGTTGTGGGACATTGGTGCAGGGACAGGGTCCACGTAGGGGACAGTGAGTGTGGGAACAGTAAGGGTGACTGGTGTTAGGGAAATCAGCATGGGAAAAAAATCCACATGAGGCAACAAGACAGTATGGGGACAGCTGAGGTCAAACAATTGTGATGTCAATAGGCAAGCATCAGTTTAGAGGGGGCGTTGGTGTGAACGGGGTCAGTGTGAGGGCAGTTGGTGTGGATGGGGTCTGTGTGGGGCAGTCGGCATGGATGGGGTGGGTGTGGGGCAGTTGGTGTGGATGGGGTGGGTGTGGGGCAGCTGGCGTGGATGGGGTCTGTGTGGGGCAGCTGGTGAGGATGGGGTAGGTGTGGGGCAGTCGGTGTGGAGGGTGTGGGTGTGGGGCAGCTGGCGGGGATGGGGTCGGTGTGGGGCGAATGCTGACCATTAGAGCAGCAGTGTGGAGAACCACGCAGGGACAGTCAGTTCAGGAAGTCAGTACAGGGAACAGCGAGTGCGGAGAACCCTGTGTAGGGACCAGAGAGTGCAAGGGGGAGGGACGATCACTGCACGCTCTCGCTGGGGCAGCAGGGAGAGGAAGGGAGCATCGCGGAGGCGCGGGCCGCCCACTGACCTCGCACCTGCTGCTCCAGGCTGAGGATGACGGCCACGGCCTGGTGCAGGATGAGCAGTTTGGTCTGCGGCTTCTCACTGCTGAGGTGCAGCTGGCACATGCGGCCCAGCTCCTTAAAGGCCTCATTGATGTCGCGGACCCGCAGACGCTCACGGGCATTATTGGCCACCCGACGCTCCTTCTCCCGCTCGGCCTTCTGCTCTGGGGGGAGAAGGTCGTCCTCGTCCTCGTCTGGGCTACGGGGGAGGGAGCCGGGGGCCAGAGGGAGATAGTGAGGTGATGTGGTGGCCTGCAGGGAGGGCCTCCGGGGGTCTGTGTGCACGTGTGATGTGTGTGAGCATGTGGTGTGTGATGTGTGCCTGCACGGCCTGAGGGGAGGGGTTGGCACCTGGTGCGCGTGCGTGGGGCCTTCAGGTCCTTCTTCTCCTCCTCGGCGTCGGCCACCGACGAGTTCTCCTCATCATCTTTCTCTTCCCGCTTGATTTCACTTGCGCCCACTGTGGCACCTGCCCTTCCGAGTCCTGCAACAAGCCTGAGGTGAGGAGCGGCAGTAGCCACCAAGCTCACCTGTGGGGCCCCTTGCCAGGGCGCAGCTTCATTTGTGGGGAGATAAAGATGAAAAGTGAAAGACTTTCTTTCAGGACTGCTTCCTCCCCACTCAAGTTCCCGCTTGCTGCTGAAGAAACCAGAATAGTCCTGCCTCACACCACACGACAACTGGAGACAGAAACCTGAACTGTTTGATTAGCACACGTTCACAACTTTGACAAATGGGGAGACAAACCCTGCTGTAAATTCTGGGGTGGGGAATGATTTGTGAAATGCTACAGGAGGAGCCAGAGAATGTATACCCATCACACAGCACATGGAAGCTGAGGTGGAAGGATTTTGAGTTCAAGACCAGCCTGTGTTAGAGTGAGGTTCTCTAAAAGCGGTGACTAAAATCCTAACCCTGGTGTGGTGGCACATGCCACCATCGCAGCTACACAAAGCGCTGGGTGTGGAAGCAGCCAGGAGACAGGGCCAGCTTAGAAGGGGCTGAGGGGACCCTGGAAAAGACCATCCACATCTGACAGCTGGGGTAGGCCTCCCTCTGTGGGATGTCACCCCTAGCTTTACCCACTCCATAATCACACAGCCCTTAACACTACCAACGTTATCCCTAGGGCCACCAGAAGGCACCTGGCCGAACGCTCCCTACAGCCCAAAGGGTCCCTTGCATGCTGGTCTGCCATAGCCTTGCCTGTGTCATCCTCTATCCCTTGTTTTCCTATCAGGTTCCATCCTGCCCCGGGGGCCTTTGCACAGGTCCTTCTTGCTGGAGCCTCCTTCCATGTCACTTCCTAGACTCAGCAGCACAGCTGCCCTCGCTATTGGTACCCCCCCACACACACTTCCTTTCCACACTTGTCCTAAACTACACCCTGCTGGCCCTAATGTCCCCTAAAACTGCTACAAGGGAACTGTCACCACCTCCCTGCTCATACCCACTATGGAAATCGCCATCTGTCATAGGCCCTCATCTGATAAGCAGGCATCCCCTGCCAAAGGAATCAGCCTGGCCCTGCTGGGACAGTGGGCTCCAAAGCTAAGTTTCTGTGCCCCCAGATTGAATCAGGACACAATAGTCCCAAACTTACAGGCTATAGTGGGGATCTGGAAATAGAGTTAGTCTGCCTGATTGCTCTTGGCCCCTTGGTGGCAAGTGACAATCTATGTGTGTGCAAGTGTTGGTACGTGTGTGTGCATAGTTGCGTGTACATGTAGGAGTAAGTACAGAGACCAGAGAAAGCCGTCCATCAAGTGCCCTGCTTTTGTCACTTATCCCAAGACGACTCACTGAACCTGGAGTTCACTGTTTTTCAGGTAAGCTTTCCCGACATGCCCACCCAGGGATCCTCCTGCCTCCTCAGTGCTGGATTACAAGGCACACGCTCATGTGAAAAGCATCAACTGAACCATGTCCCCAATACTGTGGCCTTTTGTTTTGAGGCACAGGCTCTCATGAACCTGGGGCTTGCCAACTGTGACTTGCTGGCCAGTGAGGCAGCCTGTCTCTGCCTCCTCAGCACAGGAGGTACACAACACTGTGCGTGTTCAGCAGCTTAATGTCACACTGAGTCCCCCCCCTCCAGCCTCTAGGGACAGTAATTCTGTCCTTCCCTTCTCGATCAGTTCACACTGAGTCACCCCCCTCCAGCCTCTAGGGACAGTAATTCTGTCCTTCCCTTCTCGATCACGCCCCAAAAAGCCTTCAGCTTTCCTCTGGGACTTACCGCCATAAGAGTCAGGTGGCCTCTGCGAGAGGTCGGGGAGAGAGCTGGGTTGGCTGGGGAGGCTGGCATGGTTATGCAAAAGACTGGCACCACTGGTGAGGCCATCCTCAGGGTGACCTCCACCAACCTAAGAACGAGAGGGATGTGTCAGGGTGGCTAGAGTCCCTATGTGCCACCCATCCCTGTCTCAGGTCGAAACTCACCAGGCCCGCATGCCGTCCGCCAAGTGGCATGGGGCCGGGGAAGCTTGTGGTCAACGCCCCATGGCCAGGCAGAAGTCCATGGAGATCACTAGCAGGGCCCACAGCGTGGCTTCGAAGGACATGTATGGCCTCATCCAAGCGATCCTCCATCTTGCTCTGCTGTGAGGGTGGGAAGAGAAGGTGCTCAGGAGTACATGCGTGGGTGCACACCCCCACACAGAAACACAAGAGTGCGCGCACACACACACCAAACACACTGCACATGGGGTCTCCCTCATGGTTTATGCTGAACTCAGAATTGTAATCCCCCTGACTTACTCCTGAAAACCCTTCTACTCCAGCCCCCACCTCCTGAGTACACAGATGAAAAGTGGGCTCCACCACAGCCAGGATCCACGGTGCCAGTGATGTAAGCACTGAGCCCTGGCCCAGCAGCAGGAGCCCCCCCCCCCCCGCCCCCGCCCTGTGCTTCCCCAGGCTCAGCCATGCTGCCCCTGCAACACTGAGTTGACTGCTCTCCCTGAAGGTCTCCATATTCGGATTATATGGTAATGGGATTGACTGGCACTTGGTGCCTGGTCAGCAGGGAGGGGACACTCACCAGGCCATGGAGACCCCCATCGTAGCCGGGAGATAAGGCACTGGGCGCTCCTGCTCGGGGCCACTGTGACGTCCCTGGAAGGGAAGGAAAGACATGAAGGAAGACAGGCGGTGGGGATGGGGAGGACGGTAGCCCATAGCCGGATGCACTCAGATACCAGACACCACTCAATCTTCAAAGCCCAAAGACCACAGCTTCAGCAGGCACAGCAAGGAGCTTAAGGGCTGTTCCCCTCTGTCCCCTCCACACCTGGGCTCGCTGCTCTGAACTCAAGCTAAGGGCGGGTGGTTAGCTTCAGAGGAGAGCAGACTGAGGACTGGTGTGGAACTCACTCTGTAAACCAGGCTGGCCTTGAACTCACAGAGATCTGCCTGCCTCTGCCTCCCGAGTGCTGGATCAAGGCATGCACCACTATACCAGGCTGAGTGGGTTGTTTTTAATCCCAACTTCCCAGGACTTCTAGAGTCTGCCAGCTCCCACTTTCCCTCAGCCCTAACGGATGCCCCAGCACCATCTACCCTGGAGTGGTGTTTCTAACCAGATCACAGCCTGAGGTCACCAATCAGATCTGTTTGTCAAGTAGACAAATGACAGGGGGAAGCCCACCTCTGCCTCATGCCACCCTCACTACCTGGCTAGGACTACAGACTGGTGACAGTCCTGAGGTCACTCATGGTTCCCCTGTCCATCCCATACACACCTGGCAGGCCCTGGGGTGAACCCACAGGCGTTGAGGGGCTAGGTGAGAAATTATTGCTGGAGTGGTCCGGGGAGTAGATCTGTGGTGGACAGAGGGATGGGCGGGCAGTCAGGGCCACCACCAGGCGACCAGAAGCCCCACTCTCCACCACTAGCCCAGGACCCTGCTCACCGAGGCCAGTGCCTTCCCAAGTGCATCCCCTGAGCTGCTGGCTGCAGTCCCTCGGGTGCCTGTTGGGAGAGACAGGTGAGTCCCGTGCTGGGAGCATCCGTCCTGCGAATATGATGGGGCCCTCCCTCTTAGGACACCTGCCTTCCCTAGTGTCAGCACAGGCAGAAGCAGTGACCAGTGTCCAAGTCTTGCCTAACACTGACACCTACTCTCCAGGTCAACAAGGTTCCCTATGTGCCTCAGTTGCCCCTAGAGTTCAGTGGAAGACCCGCTTCTCATGGGGTCTGTTCCTGATCACTGCCAGGGCCAACCTGGGTGGCTCAAAAAGGGGACTATGCCCTCTATCTCTCCATGGTGCCTTGATGCCCACCCAGGCCCAGGAAACCCCAGGTGTAACCTCACCCATGAGGTTTTCGGCCCCGCTCACAGGTGGTGTGTGGCCCGAAGTCCCACCGTAAGTGCCAGGGGCAGATGAGAAGCTGGACACAGCGGCAAGTGTGCCGTTGACCTCAGACCCATGCAGCTGGTAGCTCTGAGGAGACAATTAGGAGATGCTTGAGGGGTGAGCAGGACCAGGCAGGTGCTGGTACCACCCTGGACCCTCTGCCACCCCTGACCACGGCACCTACCATGCGTTCCTGCTGCTGGAGACCCCCGAAGGCACCAGTGCCCACGGAATTGCTGCCTGGTGCAAGGGGCAGAGGGGACGAGCCATCAGCTAACATGGGCCCAAAGCCCGCCTGGCTGGGGGTACTCCAAAGCTCCGCCGAGGGGTGCAGGCTGCCATCTGTGTAGAGGAGGGTGGTGAGGGTAGGGACCCAGCCCCACCAAGCCCCCCGCCCCAGAGCCCCACGCACCTGCCACGTAGAATGGGGAGGGATAGGTGCTGCTGGGGGTCTTGGCAGAGGGGTAGGCTACGGCATCCCTGCTGTAGCTGTCACCTGAGCTGGGTGGATACACCTGCGACAGGAGGGCACTGTTAGGAGGAGCGGTGAGAGACAGGTGCTGCTAGCCTCATGCTCCCTGCCATGTGTCCCACTATGCCCAGACCTAGGCCCTAGAACCTGGGGCACCGGTGACCTCATTTCCCTTGACTATCTCTTAGAGATCTCGTCTGCCTCTCCAGAACACCTTGGCCTGCCTCCATATAGCAAACTCCCAGAAAATTCTCATGGCCCCACCTCCAATGCTCAGCTCTCTATTTTTCCTTGTCTAGCATTTCCCAGTGCTGGAAACCTCCCTGTACTTCTGGGTCCATAGGATCCTAGGCCACAGAGGAAGTGTCCCAGCATAGCATCTGACCCTGGTTCCCCTGCAGCACAGAAAGTGCAGAGGGAACAACCAACAGCATCGACTCTGACTAGCTAGCATTAGCTTGAACTGACAGCTTGAAGAAACAGAGTGGGGGTCTAACAATGTCTTCCCTAGCATAGGACTCAGGCAGGGATAGGCTGTTCATGCCTGCTGGCACAGGGCTCAGGAGATCAACTGCTCATGCCTGCCCAGGCAGGGGAGCAGGCAGCGAGTCGAAGCTGGCTGTTGGGGTAGTGTCTGTCTAGCTTAACTAGGTTCTGTTGGCTATGTTCTCTGATCTTAGCTCTGTTCCAATGCATGTGTTTCTGGGGAGCCCTGGCCTACCCAGTACTGACATCAAAGGAACTACAGGGTTGCAGGCACACAGGAAGCACAAGGTGCACTGTGTATCGCAGGCCAGCCTACACCTTGTGACCTTACCTCCCAAGTGCTGGGGGAGACAGTCAGGCTGGAGAATCCAGCACACAGCCTTTCTTAATGTGATTAAATCGCAGGCGCATGGCACCATGAACCACTGAGGGCCAGCCACCATCTGCCAGGGTGGGCAACCCGCCAAACACCAAGCCAGTGGGTGGAGATACTTCCAGCCTTGGCAGGTGGGTGTGGCTGGGGGAATAGGCGGGGCCTGGCTGCCCCAGTTCAAACCCCCCCCCCCCCCCCCACCGAGGTTATAGCCATAAAAACCCACTCTTAAAGCAAGAGGGAGTGAGGTGGACCTGAGGAAGGACTTCCCTGGCGAAGAGGGGGCATGCTCAGTTCACACACATCAGCCTCCAAAGCCGGGTCACCCTTGGGATGTGACCACAGCTTCTGGCATGGGAAAACCCACCAAGCCATGGAGACTGTAGAGGCACCAGAGATCCTCATACTCACGGAGGAGGGCAGACCAGGTGGAACCTTCCGGACCTTCTTGGGCTGTGTATCTGGTGGGAGCAAGAGCAGGGGGATGGTGGGCCCACTGCCCTCTCCACATGCCCTCATGTGGACCCTCCCGGGCAGGGGTCAGGACCCAGGAGTGCCACACTCCCAACACTTAAAGGGCCTCATTAACCCAGCCATGAAAACCTGGCTTCTAGCCTGGCGGTGGTGGCACATGCATTTAATCCTAGCACTAGGGAGGTAGAGGCAGGAGAATCTTTGTGAGTTCGAGGCCAGCTTGGTCTACAGAGTTCCAGGACAGCCAGGGCTACACAGAGAAACCCTATCTTGGGGGGCATGGGGGGAAGAAAACAAACACATCTAAAACCCCTGGAACTCCAAGATGTAGGAAAACACAAGGAGGCTCTGCACAGAGCAGCCTGGGGGTCAGGATAGCCCAGCAGCCCCCTCCTAGTTCATCACACCCAGCAACACTGGGGGTGCAGACTCAGGCACCCAATCCGGATGTTGGTCTCTGCTACAACCACCCCTCACCATACCCATGCCCCCAGCACCAACTTACCCAGGCCACTGTCTGCAGCTCTCCGCCGAGGGTTGCTGGGGTATGAGGGGTAATACTGGGAGCTGCTCTTGACACCCGATGGGGATAGTGGCCCAGGGCTGCTAAGGCCCAGCTCACCCGGTAGGAAGCCAGCCTGGGGATGGGAACACCAGGAAGCTGGGGCTGATGTCCAGACCCAGGCCAATCTGTGTTTGGAGAACCTACTGGCTGTTAAGACCAGTGCCACAAGGGTAGGGCAGGGCTGGGCTAGGCCCCCAAGCCTCACTGCTGCACAGCACCCAGGACACAACCTCTCATGCTCAGTCCCATGGCCACCTCTCACCCCAGTGCACAGAGGCCCACATTGGGGTCCGCATTCCCGACAGTGGCCCCATGTAAGCAGATGAGTTGGGGCTTTGAGACCTGTATCCTGTACTCTGCCCAGCTCTGCTCCTCTCATAGGGTAGGGCTACTCAGGGACTTTAGAGATCACAGCCTGGTCCCAGTTGGTGCTTAACAACCGTAGCTCCCATGACACAGTGTCTACCCCAAGGGATATCTTGGAGGCGGGGCCAGCTCCACCCTTCTGCCTCAGTTTACCTGACTCAGTGCACTAACACTGGTGTCTCTCCCAAAGGTGGCATAAGCACTCCGTTCGCTGCCTTTGCCTGCAAGGGACAGAAGGAAGTCGTAAGAAACCTGGGAGGGTCTCTCAGACAGTAGGGGGATTACACACAGTGGGCCTCTGGGAGGGCCCTGCCTGGGTAGGCCCAGCTGCCCAGTCTCCCTGGATACAGGATAGGAGACAAGGAGAACCTAGCAACACTGGGACCAATTGATTGATCTGCATGCTTTGCTACTATTTTTTATTGAAGACTAAGTCATGAGGGTTTTGCCTGCAGATATGTCTATGCGCCACACATGTGCCTGGAAGAGAGTATCAGATTCCTTGGGACTGGAGTCATGGGTGCTGTAAGCCACCACTTACTTGGGCTGAACTGAACCCAGGTCCTCTATAAGAGCAAAAAGCGCTCTTAACCACTGAGCCGTCTCTCTAGCCCTGATTTGCTTTGAGACAGGGTCTCATGTAGCCCAGGCTAGCCCTGACTTCCTAATGGTCCTGCTTCAGCCTCCTGAGCAGCTGCGTTCTAAGGGTTGCTAAACCTGCCAGCACTCAGTGCTCACAGGGTCCACCCTGGGGAACGGGGAGTGAGGGGGACACGGACACAACAGGCGGAAACAGACACAGATGGCCTCTTTGAGAACTGCCCTGACATCCTGTCAGGCAGGACACCCGAGAAAGAGGCAGGAGAAGGAAGCCCAAAAGGGAACACGCACCCCACAACTGCAGAGGCCACTTTGGGCCATGGTGGAAGGAGGGGTCAGTGCTGACCAGTTGCGGACTCTAGAACAGATTCCACTCTTGAGTTAAAGCAACACCTTCATGGTCTTTCAGGCCTCCTGTCCGACCTACTTCCTGGTGAGTGGTCCCCTCAGCCACCAAGGAAGCAGGCCAGGGTCACAGCCATCCACATGGGAAGTGGTATTTGGTACACCACCTGCCTCGATTCCCAGGCTGGTCAGAGGCCAGGGTTACTGATGTGATGGCTGGTGCTTCACTACCCTGCTATGCCCCAAGGTCCTCTTGGGGTTACCACAGTGGCCACACTTACCTCCAAGCCCAGGTCCTAAGAACGTGGAAGAAGGTAGGCTGTTGTGGGACTCACTAAAGTGGGCACCTTCGCTGTACGTCTAGGGGAGAGAGGCAGGGTAAGACACTAGTAGCTGAGTGCAACTGTCCCAGAGGGTGACCCAGGGACCTGGGCTGCACAAAGGCGTCTTACCCTGCTGGGGTCGAAGGAAGAGCTGTTCTGATCACTGTTGCCCCAGGAGCCTGAGCTGGTTCGGTCCTCGAGTCCTGAAGGAGGAAAAGGGAACCCTAGCCTAGTTCTCAGGGGACCCAGAAGGCTTTGGGATCCCCTTTCATCCTAATATGCCTAACAGCAATAAGGTCTGGGAATGTTCCTACAAAGGCTGTTGTAGCTAATAATGTGACTACCAGCTGTTTCTCTGGCAAACTTCTACTCAGTGAAAACTTCAGCTACTGCGCCCACTCTCAGTCCCATGGCCAGGCCTCTTGCTTAGGCCTATGTCTGATCACAAGGACGGGGCATCTGAGTCAGAAATGGCTGACAAAAGTCCACAGAGCCTCAGGAGTAGGGTCTCTCTGGTAGGGGGCCTCCACTAGGAAGGTTGACTTGCTCAGTGGGTAAGGCAGAGAGAGACACACCTGGCTCGGGTTCCTGGAGCCTCAGAAGAAGGTCAAGAGTTTCTGTGGTAAAGCAGGATTAAGCAGCCTGGAGACCAGGGGAACCTTGTCCTAAGGGGCAGGGCTGGCCCTTATCTCCCCCAACACTCCTCACAGGCAGCTAACGGCTACACCCCTAGAACAGTCTCCACAGGCAGCAAATTCACTCCTTCCTAGCACCCTGGGCCCTGTCCCCATGCACAGGAACCACAGGGTCTACCTTGATTCCTCTCTAACTTGGCTACATGGCCATACATGTGCCTCAGTTTCCCTACTGGACTGACAAGCAAGTTCAGTCCACATTGAAAACTCCAAGGGGGAAGGCTCCAGTGTTTGGCCTCCCCTCTACACCTCACAACCCCCCTTATGCCACCCAGCTCCACACCAGAAACTTTCAAACCCTAGAGACTTATATTATGGCCTTTGTGCTCATCATCCCCTCCCTGGAGAACCATGTTTCATTGTGGCCTAATTTACATAATTATGCATATCAATCTCAGCACCTCATGAATATTCATTGTGATTACACCTTCCTGCTTCCCGATAAAGTTCTAGTGTGTTGGCAATGGGGGTCTGGGATGCAGCCCTGGGGGCTCCAGGAACCCCTCTAGCATCAGGTGCAGTTTATGGATGCCTTCACCCCAAATTTTTAGCTCTCCCAGGGCTTGTGGTAAGGATGGGGTGGTTGGGCAGCCAGTACCCACAATGTTGTGGTCCCACCAACTTCCATTGAACATAAACCCCAGGGGCATACAGGATGCTCTGAAAGCCCAGACTAGGCCTTGGTGACACCTGAACAGTGGGTGACCCCAACAAAGTGTCACACCCCCCAGAGCCTGGCAATGTTGAAGATTCCTACCCAGCACAAACCCTGTCTTCCCATTCTATAAATGACAACGCAGGAGGTCCCTCCCCCACCCCATTAATACAGTTATTAAAATCACCCCACTGATAAATGATGCATCTTAATAACCCCAACATGAATATTCATAGCTGTCTCACTTGCGTACTAATTAAAATGTTCTAATAGAAGATGCTGATGTCAGACTACCCCCCCTCCAATTTCTCCTCCTGTCCCTCAAGGTGAAGTACCAAGACACAGGCACCTCCATCCAGCCCAGACAACTTAGGACAAGGCCCATGTTTGGAGTCCTATTCTTCTACAGGGACAATTCACACTTTTTGGCCACTGACTTGCTTTTATAAGTAAAGTTTTACTGGCGCACAGCTCTCCTGTTCATGTGCTGTCTACAGCTGTATTCATGGCAGGGCTTATATATTCATTATTTGGTCCGTCGTGGAGATGATCACCTGGAGCCCAGCACACCAGGAGCAGCCTTATAGAATGGTGGAACTCAGTGTGGCCTTCTAATCTAATGTTGGTACATGGACCAACACACCCACCCCAAGCATCTCTCTCCCTCACATCCACTGCCTACTTAACAGGGATGATGTCAGCTAACACAGCCAGTGTTAGGTCATATCCACCCAAGGTCCAGTTGCCACTGACCAAAGCGAGCAAACAGAGCCTGCCTTCTCCCACTAGCTCTAGCCAGAACAGCCCAAGACAAAGCCCTGACAGTAAAAGCAAGTTTGAGACCAGCCTAGTCTTCATTACATACCTCAAAAGAACCACAGAGGGCTAAGTTCAATTCCTAGCACTCACATGGAGGCTCAGCATTGCCTCCATGGAATTCCAGCTATAGGAATCTCCAGGTCTCTGGCTTCCTAGTGCACCACACTCACATATGTATATTCCCACACAGAGAACACACATGTAATTGAAAAATAGTAAAAGTAAACAAAAGGAAAAAAATATGGCTGCTAAGTCAGATATGATGCAAAGACAGAAGAAAACTCCACCCTGATCACGCTCCCAGCCCCCCACTGTGGGATTGTAGACAAGGCTCCACCCTGACTATGCCCCCAGCCACTCACTGGGGTTCCTAGGAGGGAGAGAAAGGAAGAGGAGGAGGAACCTAGGCAGTAGGAGAGGAAAAAGGAGGTAAAAAATGGAAGAGAGGTAATGCCATGTGACAGAAATGGGTTAATTTAAGTTTAAGAGCTGGCTGGGAACAAGCCTAAACTATTGTCCAAGCTTTCATAATTAGTAAGAAGTCTCCGTGTCACTATTTGGGAGCTGATTGGTGGGGACAGAAAAAGATGTTACAGAAGGCTGCCTACTTAGGGACAGTAACAGATTAGAGGGGCAGAAAGAATTATAGGATGTGGGGAGGCAACCCAGGGAACCCCCAAAATGTAACACAGAAACACAGGCTGACCTACACCTTGTTATCTAGCTGAGATGAACTGAACCACCCAGTCCTGGGGTGACGGGTGCACCACCTTCATGTGCTCCTGGGATGAAACCCAGGGCCCTGTGTGCAAGGTGGCTGCTCTACCCTCCAGCCCAACTAGCTAATACTTCACTCTCAGAGTTTATTTTTAAAAACTAATAAAGGTTGGGTATGTGATTCAGTGGAGAATTATTTTGTTTATTTTGAGACAGGGTCTCATTCTGTAGCCCAGGCTAACATGGAACTCAAAAGATCGACCTGCCAAGCCAGACAGTGGTGGCCTAAGCCTTTAATCCTAGCACTCAGGAGGCAGAGGCAGGTGGATCTCTGTGAGTTCAAGACCAGCCTGGTCTACAAGAGCTAGTTCCAGGACAGCCTCCAAAGCCACAGAGAAACCCTGCCTTGAAAAACCAAAACCAAAACCAAACAAAACAAAAACAAAAAAAACAGATCCACCTGCCCTTGTCTCCCCGGGTGCTGGGATTAAAGGGGTGTACCACCACGTCTGGCAGCAACTGAATTCTTGCCTTCCATTCTGGAGGCACCTGATCTAGCCCCCAGTGAGCCAGACCCTTGGCTCAGTGGTTAACAGAGGTGGCTGATTTTCCAGAGGCCCCAGGTTCAATTCCTAGAAGTCATCTGTAACTCCAGATCCAGGGGGATCTGACACCTTCTTTTGGCTTCCAGAGGTACCAGGCAAGCATGTGAAATACAGATACACATGCAGACAAAACACCCTCACACATAAAATAAATAAATAAACCCCAGAAAGTCACTTAGAGAAGGAAGATCTTGGAGCCATTTTAAACAACCCATGAAACTACCCTGAATTCTTTCTGACTCAACCTCCTTGCTCTGTTGGTAAGAAAGCTGGCAAAAGCCTTCCTATGTAAAGTGTGACAAACCAACAAGGGTTGTGAAGGCTGGTGTACGGGCAGGCCTGTTCAGTTAGAAGGAAACCCTAAGTTTCAGCCTCCTAATCATTACCACATCACTGTATCCATTGCTCTGCACCTGTGAGGTCCAGAACTCTAAGAATGTTACCCAAAGTCATCACATAACAAACAGTGCTTTACAAATGGAAGTAGAAATTTTTAAGGGGCTGGAGAGATGGCTCAGAGGTTAAGAGCCCTGGCTGCTCTTCCAGAGATCCTGAGTTCAATTCCCAGCAACCACATGGTGGCTCACAACCAAAAAAAAAAAAAAAAAAAAAAAATTGTTCTTAAGACAATTTTTTGTCTTAAGACATGGTGGGCTGTTTTTTTTGTTTTGTTTTGTTTTTGTTTTTTTCCAGACAGGGTTTTTCTCTGTGTAGCTTTGGAGCCTATCCTGGCACTCGCTCTGTAGACCAGACTGGCCTCGAACTCACAGAGATCCGCCTGCCTCTGCCTCCCGAGTGCTGGGATTAAAGGCATGCGCCACCAACGCCCGGCCAGATGTAGCTTTTTAAGTTGACCCAGCAGTGACAGAGGGAAGAACTGGTCTCCGAGAAACTGTCCTGAGCTCCTTGAGGCACAAGTCTCACTGGATGGCACATTAAGAGGATTCCATTTTTGCAGCAGGGTCAGGGATGTTAGAGAGAGAGAGAGTAGAATCAGAGTCCTTCCTATGTAAAGAGCACCTGCAAGCCCACAGGTATCACACAGGTTTTTATATGAAGAGACTGAGGACTGGTTTCACAGCACCACAGACAGAAACACCACAGGTTATAATGGGAGCTGGCATTCAGCTATTCTCACAAGTTTTCACCCCGTCCTGAGACAAGTAGAGTAATTTCAAAATGAAACATTATCAACAAGAAAAAAAAATCATCGATGCAGGAGGGCTCAAGGCATTTGAGATTGACAGGCCTCTGACACTCAGCTACCACCCATGGTCGGTAGGTACTATGTTCTTGTGGCAGACTCCAGCTAACCTTCTATCAGCAGTGCCTGGGGACCTGCCCCATGCACCCCTCCTGCTCCTCCTGTGTGTACCTCGACCTTCAAGAACAGGGGAAACAACATCCTGCAACCATGATTGGTAGCAGTGCTGTCCCTTCAAAGGTGACATGGCACATGCATGTCTATTCCTGTGGTCTTTGGGCTCTAGATGTACCACCAACGTGAGGGCCAGCCAACAGTGTCCCCAAGACAGAGTCACATAGCCCAAGGCCAAGGGTCCGAGGGTGTGGCTGAAGGTGGGTCTGAAGGATGAGACAGGCTGGACAGAAACCATAAAAACCAGTGGGTGATGTCTTCAATGTCCCGGCCTGCCAGGCCAGACTGACAGGGAGAGGAGACCAGGCTATGCCACCCCCAAGGAGCCACCTCCAGGTCCTGGAGCCCGCCTTGGCGACGAAGCCCAGAAGAGTTTGGAGAGCCGTGCTGCCAACAGGGCAGCCCTCTCCACCCCACTCTCACAGTAGCTGCCAACCTGACCCTAACCCACCCCTCCCCTGGGCCGGAAGCCTGGGCACTGCGGACTTGGGGCTGCTTCCGGGGTGATGGGAGCCTGTGGGGATTTCCAGGCCTTTAGGAGTGCCCAGATGGCCCTCCATTCACTTCCTCAGGCTGAGGGGAAGACCAGCAGGGTAGTGACTGATGGCCTTGCTTTTGGGTAGGGTAAGCAAGAGCCACCCATACCAGCTTCCCAAATGTGTCCCCCACACAGCCCAGAACAAACCTTGTTTAACGAAAACCAGTCAACTTCAACCCCATCCATGTCAGCTTGGGTCTATGAGATGTTTCTCCTTTGAGACCTCAGATGTCCTGGGTCCTAGAAGTCTCCTGTCCCTGTGGTCCCATCAACCAGGCTAGACCATGTATATACCAAGCACATAATATTTGTTCAAAATACAACCACAGGGCCCCACTGTGGACCTCATAGTTGGAACAGACAAGACACAGAGGCCTGGGTTCCAGTCAGCCAACTCAATGGGCTCTAAAACAACCACACTCTGGTGGGGCATGGCGTGAGGAAATGCCACTGTCCACAGGGCCGACCACCAGACCTCCAATCAGTCCACATGAACACATCCCCTGTGTCCTTCAATCCTACCTGAGCCTGCAAACTGGGTTCCAGCCAAGGAGGCAGGCCGGCCCTTCCCGTTGGCCACCGGGAGCGGGAACATCTGTGGGACAGAGGAGAGCGGTGAGTGGCGCAGCAGAGTTGGGGACAGTAGGGGTGTCTAGCTGAAGAAGACCCAAAGATGCCGGTTTGCTCTTCTGAGGCTGGGTGTACCAGAGCTCTACAGTCAGGGTGACCCTAGCAGCAGGTCAGGCTTGGAAGGAAACAACTGCACACTCAACTCCGAAGCTGAAATATCCAGACCTCTAGGACTCTACTAGAGGGAATGACTTACAACTTGTTTTTGTGTGTGCACAATCTTGGGTGTTATTCTCAGGAGCCATATTTTGTTTTGTTTGTGAAACAGGATCTCTCTGTGTAACCCTAACTGTCCTAGAAATCACTGGAGACCAGGCTGGCCTCGAACTCACAGAGATCCTCCTGCCTCTGCCTCCCGAGTGCTGGGATTAAAGGTGTGTGCCACCAACGCCTGTGATTCCTTATTTCTTGAGATACTGTTTCTTATTGACCTACAGCTTGCCAAGTAGGCAAGCCTGGCTGTTCAGAGCTCCCCGGTAGTCCTGTGTCTGCCTCCCAGAGCCAGCCAGGGTTACAGGTGCATGCCACCATGCCCCAATTTTTACACAGGTGCTGGGTATGAGCACTTTACCCCTGAGCCATCTCTCCTGCCCTGATTTTGTCTCTCAGATAGGCACTGAGTTTATCATCTCCCTGCCTCAGCCTCAGGAGCACTGGGTGACAGGAGTGTGCCACCGTGCCTGAAACCACCTGCTCTGAAGGGGATATGTGTCCTCAATGGGTAGCCGGTCAGACTGAGAACCTCCTGGCTAGCATCCTGTGTATTGGGAGGCCTCCCACTTGTCTGAGTGGCTCACTTAAGGGCACCACAGAAGGAGAACCGGAAAAGACACACTGCCCATAAGTGTGGCCCAGCCCCTACTAAGGGGAAACTGGGAAGTGGAGGCAGGAGGATAAGGTTGTTTAAGGCCATCCTCGGCTACATGGGGAGCTACAGGTCACATGAGACCTTGTCTCAAACAAAAATGGGAAAGGGGACTGAGGCGCTAGGTGGCAGAGCTGGGCATGTGTGTGAGGCCATCGACCCCTGCCACACCCACACGCCCCCTCCCAGCTCTTCCATGCCCACTGTGCCAGTTAAAGGGCATATTAAAGGGCTCAGAGGCACAAAAGCCAACTCCCAACCACAGAGTGCCAGTTCTTACCCGTGTGAGGCCCAAGTGACAAGCTACCTACACTGTCCTCGGAACCTCCCCTAAACAACTAGGCAATGGCAGTATACCCCACAGCTAGGACATGTGCAGGGTCACCGACACTATCCCCTCACACAGAAGGAAGAGCAGTGGAAGAGCGGGGTGCCATTTGGGGCCAGCAGGGGCTGCAGAGTAAGACTCTGTCTCGAAAAACAAAAGAGGCACAGGGCCAGAGAGAAGGCTCAACAGTTAACACACTGCCTGCTCTTCCAGAGGACCTGGGTTTGGTTCCCAGTGCTCACATGGCTCACAACCATCTATAACTCCAATTCCAAGGAATCTGATTGCCTTCTTCTAATCCAAGGACGCTGGGCACAAACGTGGTACACACACACACACACACACCTGCACGCGCTCGCGCATGTATAAAGTTAATAATGAAGCTGGACAAGGTAGCATAGGCCCTGTCGTCACAACACTCAGAGGCAGGAAGAGATCAGGAACTCAAGACTAGCCTGGGCTACATGAGAACTTGCTCAAAAACAAAATCCTCCAACAAGGGACTTGCCTCCCAACTTGGCCACACGAGGTCTGGCTGTGTGATGGGATTCCCTACCTGCCTCAGTTTCTCTTCTGTGCCTTGGGATGCTCTCTGACCTAAATGAGGGGAAACCCTGAGCCCTTTGGACTGAAGAGGAGATGGCCCAGAGGCTTGGGGTACTCCCATGGGTCCAACAGAGCTGAGCTGCACCCCCAAGCTGGTATGTTCCAGGTCACTAGACCGTGACCTGTCAGTTTAACAATAACATAAAAAAAAAAAACCACACGCGCGCGCACACACACACACACACACACACACACACACACACACACACACCCCAGAGCGGACCAGAGCCTCTGCCTACTCAGCCAGGGAGGCAAAAATAAGACAGACCTTAAAAATACCAGCAGGCCTTCCGGAGCCTTGAGTCTGTCCCCAGGGCTGACTGTCAGGCTGGCTGAGGTGTGCTGCCTCAGTATAAACTCACTTGTTTTTGGCAGAATTCTGTGGCCTCGGTGCCTTGTGGGGATGAGCAGGGGAATTCAGACCGGAAGCTGCCCTAGGAGCTTTCAGGGGACAGTGGTGCTTCTGGGGGTGGGGCCGAGATTTTGAGAATCCACAGAGCTTAAAAGTCATGCTCATTCTTGAAGGACAGGTCCAGTGGCCCCAACAGCCACAGGGTGCCCACTGCACAGATGGGTTAGTGGAGGGCACTAGGCTGTGGAGATGTCCACCAGCTTGTTACTGGATGTCCCTGTGCTCTGTGACTTTTGTCAGCCAGCAAGCTCTCTGGGCATTTACACAGCTGGAGAAAAAGGACTTCCACAGGATGGGCATCTCTCCCCAACTGTGACTGACAGTGTGCTATTGGAGCAGGGTTGCTGAAAGCCTTTGGGGGTGGGGGTGTGCCCACAGATCCTCCCAAGGTCACTAACATAGTGGTGGCTTTCCTCTCTGAGGTCCCCAGCATGGGCCAGCACAGCCTGGGACTCATTCTCATATCTGTAACTTCCAATGGTCACTTTCCTGACTAGCTAGTCAAGGCCTCGAGCCCCCCCACAGCCACACAGGGCTTCTGCAGTGAACAAGCCAGAGGGGCCAGAGCCCTGAAAAGCCCCTCCCTCTCTTTGGGCTCAGCTCTCCCATTTGTGAAGTGGTAAATGAGCCCATTTCTTTGGTGGGTGTCACCACGCTTGTGGGGGGAAGGGAGTTCCATTCCTCCATCTCCTCCTGAGACTCCTCCCACTTTTGCAAGCTGAGGGCTCCACTCCAACTGGCAGACACTTCTCCCCTTCAGAGGTAACCTCCAGCCTGGGAGCAGGGGACAGGCACTGGGGGGTGGCTCACCATGCTGAAGTCCAGAAGATCACTCAGCTCTTTGTCAGAGCCCACAGGTGCCATTCTCTGAGACTGGTTCATCATCTGGCCAGGACAGCAGGCGTGGAAACTGGGGCAGGTTCCCCAGGCCTAGAGACAGCGCTGTGTGGTGAGCCCCAGAGACAGGAGGGAGAAATGGAGACCGCATGAGAGCATACAGGCACAGGCCTGAGGTGGATGGGGCCCTGGAGGGAGGAGGCAGGGAACCTAGTTTGGGGGACCCTTATAGATCCTTCCCTAGAGCAAATATACAGCTTCAACAATAGAGAGAAGGAACACACAAGAGCTCTCCATTCCCAGAGGACCACTTTTTAAACTGGTGTAGTATAGGAACACTCCTATCACCCCACCCGAGGTGTCTAGGAGGCGAGGGATGATGGCTCAGGCTCTGCCTCCTCCAAATAAGTTTGGTGGAACCTTCCCATTCACAGAACACTCAAAGTCCTGGTCACCCCAAAATCAAAGCAAAGCAAAATCCTAGTTTCAAGCCTTCACTCCTGGGCCCCACAAATTCTCCCTTTCACCCCCAAAAACCTAACCTCACTCAGAAAAGTTAAAAAAAACAAAACAAAACAAAAGCAAGCAGCCTTATTGTCAGGATGTATCCGGGAATTATTCGGAGCAAAGTTTGAAAACATCCTTTTACCAACATCACCCTTGGGGGGGGGGGGTTTGTCCCAAGACCTGGGATTCCCCTTCAGGTCCCAGGGGCTCTGCTCCACCAGCGGGGGAGGGGATCCACCTGCCAGGCCACATCCCACCCACCCCAGGGAAGACAGAACAGCTTAGCCATCCACCACACATTTAAAAAATTAACTTTTTTCCAGGGTTCCCTAGAAAAGAGAAAAGGTGTGTTGAACTGAGAGACCACAGGGTGGGGAAGGAGGGTCAGGGGCTTGAGGGAGAGCGAACGCCCAAAAGCTCAAAGACCCCAACTCTTTTGTTCGCCACCTCAGACTCGGTGTGAAACAGCACCTAGAGCACCCCCTCCCCCGCTGTTTCTTTTCTTTTCATTTTTTTTTTTTTAAATCCTTTTTGGAGGACTGTGAAACTGACTTTTTTTTTTCTTCTAAGTTGTACGAAACCACACTTTTTTGTGTGTGTGGTACTTGAAACCGATTTTTCTAGGTAACCCCAAGGGAAGAGGTGAAACACTACTTGGTCAGTGGTACCACAAACATTTTTCAGAGGGGCGGAGTGGGGCAACCTGAGACTTCTTGGATTGTCGGGAGGGAAGCAGAATTGGGTACAACCTTCTTTTCTCTCCCTCCCCCACTCCAGCAGCGAGTGCGGGAGGGAGAGAGAGAGGCTGAGAAAGAGGCTGAAAGCTCTCTGAGGCTCGAAGGCAGGCCCCGTATCCCAAACCCTGGGCTGTGGCTTGCCCCACACTAACACAGAGCAGATGTTGCCATCTTGGGGTCCCCATGACTCCCCACCTTCTCTGTGCCCAGAAGCCCCTTTCTTGTAGCAGACAAAAGGACCTGTTCTTTTTTTTCCTTCGAACTCTAGCTTGAATTAGGGGGCCCATTCCTGAGTGTGTGTGTGTGTGTGTGTGTCTCCCAAGATCTCCCAGGAGTTGGGGAACCCCTAGCTAACAAAGTAAAGAGATTGTCCCCACTCTTCCTTCCAAACTCCAACTCGGATGGAGGGTTGGTGGGCCTCCTCCCTGGCTGAGGGTGGGTGGGAAAGGGATACCTACCCTCAAAATCCCCACGAGTTAGGGAACCCTAGGTCGTGGAGTGCGGGGTTAACCCTCACCCCTCCAAACTCCAGCCAGCATCAAGGAAACACCTCAAGTGAAGGGGTGGAGGTCGGCGGTAAGAGGACACCTCCCCTAAGATACCCACGAGTTTGGGCACCCCTAGCTGATGGAATGAGGAGATGGTCCTCTCTCTCTTCCCTCCAACTCCAGTTCCGATCAGGGGGATCCCCTCCCTGAAGATGGGGGTTGAAAGTAGGTAGTAAGGAAACACCTCCCCCAAGGTTCCCATGCCCCGTATCTGATTAAGTTGGGT